TATACTGTATTATTTAAGTTGTTGCTAGTTCTGCTTTATGTCCCTGTTAATTGTTAAGCACCAATACACTAAGTCAAATTCCTTGTATGTGTAAATGAACTTGGCGATAAACCCCGATTCTGATTCTGACTAGATATTTCAGCTTGCATTGAGTCAGACACAAACGCTTACAATAAGAGCAGTGTACAGTGTGTTTTATGTGTACCACGTAAAATGCATACCAACCCTCAGAGTAAACATTACGATTGTTTCTGTGACTCTATAAAAATAACTTTGATGTGCTGGTTCACTTGAGTAGCAGAGCGATTGAGGTTTCTACACTCCGACAGTAAACAGAACAGAAACTTTATGAAATGTTGCTTTCCCATAAAACTACCCCTGCCCTTTAGTCTGTACCCAAGGTTAAGATTGAAGATAAGAAAATAAAAAAATGCCTGACTGCAACGCAAACTCAAGATTATATGAAGTTGTTCTTAACATGTTGGATTTCTCCACAGCAACATATTACAGTTCTGAAAAGAGTAACAGAACAAAAAATGCCTTCATATTTTAATATCATACAAAAACCTTATTGATAAACTGAGATAAACATACAATTTATTTTATTGTTAAAGTTTATTGCTGGGCGTTTTGCCTTTCTTTTAAAAATAGGACAGTGGATAGAGTCAGATATCAGGAAGAGAGAGAGAGAGAGTGGAGAACGACGTGCAGGAAAGGAGCCACAGGTCGCATTCGAACCCACGCCTGCTTGGAGGACTACAGCCTCTGTACATGGGGCATGCACACTAACCACTACTCTACTGGCTCCCCTAAAAGCAAACAATTTTAAACTGAAATAAAATCAGATTCTCTCTCAGCTGAACGTTTGGAGACTGAAGGCACACCCAAATTGGATAAGCTGCTCTGCTGTCTCTGAATGCTCAACTAGTGGCTATCACTGAAGTTGGCTATACCAATCTGGAACCGGATGGTGTTTACATAATTTTATGGGTCTCATCCTGCTCGGCTGCAGTCCAAGGCGTAGTATGCATTGGGACTCAATAAAAGAAATTCAGTTATTTTCACTTTCACTTTCTCTGACTGTTTGGAATGAGGCGTTTTCTCAAGTCAGACAGATGATGATGAAATAAAGGGAAATAACACAGGACTTCCCAGCTGAGAAGAATAAACGTGAGCTATATGGCATTATTAAACAGTGGAAAATCCCATTTTCTAGATTGACAGTGACTTTTAACAAGCTCTCACTCTTGTTGATATAAAGCCTACAGCTGTTAAATAAAAAAACAGTTGATTTTATAATGCACTGGAATCAATTTGCACTTAGATTGAAATGATGCAAACACTTAAAATATGTCTTGCAAAAGGGAAATAGTGTCTTAATATGTTTAGTGTGGTTATCTGAACTTAAAGTTACTGAAAGCTCTTTGCAGTTGCTTTCAACAAAAACATAAATTGTCATCACATGAAGTGGTTTATTTGGAATAGTCCTACTTAATCTGCATCATTTGATGGACAGAAAAAAATACTGTTTTTCTAAAGAACTGAGTTAGAATTTTAAAAAGGACCAACTAGGCCCAAAGTTTAGCAGAATAGAGCAAGTAACTCCTACAAGATAGAAGTTATATCGACAATCTTCCAGTGTCGTTGGCTAGACTCTTGTGAATTTGAATCAGAAACAGAAGTCGTGAACTCTGGGCAGGATTCCCCAAATTACATCGAAACCAGCCACATTACTCCATGTCATTACTTAATCACGCATGTCTGGAAAAGGTTAAATACATTCAAACAGGATGTAAGAAGTATGTTAAAATCTAATTCAGAAATATCCGTTTCCTTGTTTTTTTCCTGAAGTGCCTACAGTTTCAAAGTTACATAATAAAAGCCTCACTACATAATATACATCATATAACTACATTTCATAAGAACTCCAATTCTTTACAAAATGTCGGACAGTTTGGCCTTCACTCACCCTGAGATGCTGGAAAGCATGAATACTATAAGGTAGTTCAAATATTTTTGCACAGTCAGGTTTTTCTAGATCTGGGGGCAGAGCTGTTCGGAAATCCATATATTCTTCAGGGCTACAAGAGAAGAGAATACAAACATGTTTAGACAGAAACTCTGTCATTGTGTGTAAGAACACTAGACACGATCATTCAAGTTTTTTTTTTTATTTATCAAACAACATCTCCAGAGTTTGGCTTTGGTGCCTTAACCAATTAAGAAAAAAAACACAGTAATGGACGACATTTTACTGAAGAGAGCTCACCTGATATCTTTGCTTTCCAAAGAAATATAAGTCCCATCATAAAGGTCAAGGTCTCCCAGGGGTACCTTGGCCATAACGCAGTCTGCATCTTCTTTGTAGTGTCTCTGCTCCAGCCCTGTGTCTCTGTCCTCATTCTCCTCGATGTGAATCTTCTGTGCCACTAGCTGTTTCTATTCAACAATAAACAAGAGGATATTAAAAAAAAAAATCAGTAACAAGCAAAAAAAAAAGAACAAAGAAACACCAGCTGACAATAAATACATTAGGCAATCTATCTAATGTATATCTTTACAAAGATTAACGACATTGAGGACCCAAGGTGAAGCACATTTTCGGCACACATGACACAATGATTACTACACACCTCAAGCTTCTTGAGGTAGTTCACACGAGTCTCTTGCCTCATGAATATCACAACATCGTGAGGATGCTTCAGATTCAATGGTGAGTCAACCTGAAAAAAAAAACAACAACAGTGTGACACAAACAAAAACAGTCAAGAGACTTAATCTAAACTTGGGACAGGACTGCTGCTGCTGCAGTACGTTGGTGGTGGAGAAACGCTGTCCATGCAAATCTCATATCAGACGTGCAAACTCAGCCTAACACAGTAACACAGCCTTTTCTCTTTAAAACACAAGAAGCAGTGTTGGTGGTAACCCGCACATCATTTCGTTATCGGCAACAATTTAAGACGCAGTTGCCAACGCGACTGTTGTCATGGGACTGAAACACTTTTGGTCGTGTTGACCTCGAACACCTACAGACAGCGTCAGTTCACAGGTAGCTCGTACAAGCTAACACACTGAAGACAAACAAAGCGAATATCTCCCGTTGTCTTGTCGCTTTATTCGACGTTACAAAAGCTGGCAAACTGCTCGTGTTAGGTTCAAATACATGAACCACGTTCGTAAGTGTCACCGTTTAATGCTGAATAAAAAGCTTTTTTTTTACGCGCTTAGCACCCTGACGTTAGCGTTAGCAGGTCGATGAGCTAAACGTTGACTTGTCATACTTGTTGTTGAATCTTTCCGTCCTCCGTGACAACCCAGTGGGTCGTGGCTCCGCCGGAGTCCACTATCAGCACACAGAGAAGGATGAAGAGCTTCCCCTGAAATGACGTTTTGCGCGAATAGTTGACACGACAGGGCAAAAACTCAGGACAGATTTTCCTGAGGTCCGCCATTTTATTTTTTCCTGTCTCAATTTTTTTTTTGCTCTGTGTGTGGTGGTGACTCGTTACCAGCAGCACTCCGGCCCGGCAGGGGGCGCGCACGTCCGGGAGAGGAGGAGGAGGAGGAGGAGGGGGGGCGCGCACGTCCGACAGGGGGCGCTCACGTCCCGCCGCACCGAGCAACACTCAAACAGGAACATGATGGATGACGTTTGTAAAGTAAAACAGGAAATTATCTGGAGACGTTTTGAAAGCGAAGGCAAGTGTTACATAAAAAGAAAGAAAAGGTACCCGCTTTCTCAGCTGTAATCAGTATTTTAATATCGGTGTTGCCGACGAAGAGGCTTGTTGTCTTACTCGCTGTTTTGGTCAGTATCTTCCTTTAAGTCCTTTTATTTTCTCTCTGTTGCATAGTCAGGGTTGCAAAGTTGCAGTTCCGCATCAGGTAGCATGACTTCTTCATCAAGAGACACCATTGTCAACCCTGTTTATTGTACTTGCAGGCAAGCTTTAAATTGTATTTTATTATATTGTTGCTCAGTGTTGGCAAAGGTAGCACTTGGTTTGCGAGGACCTTAGTCTTCTAAGCCATGTAAACTAATGGTTTAGAAGTTAGTTCCGACTCCTCAGTTGAACTGAGATATGAGTTATAGATGTGGTTACTCGTTATAAGCTGTGTAATGAATGTAGCCGCACTATTAACTGTTTTATATAGTTGAATAAGTGTGTTTATTTTTTGAAAGGACCTACCAGAAGGACACTTAAAAAAAAAAGTATGTCAAACTAAGTGCAAGCGTATGGGAGTGGTCTTAATGGACTTTATATCAAGGTCAAACAAAACCGACACAGAAGCTTTATTTTCCCACTGATCCCATCAAACAAAGAGATCAATTGGCATTCTGCAGGATAACTAGTACATGTGACATTTATTCTGAAGCTGAAAATGAAGCTATTTTGACCGCCAACTAAGCATTTAAGACACAAAAAAAGGTGTCTGCATTTATTTGTTGTATGTGACAGTAAAAGACAGACAGAGGGGGGACAGCAATTTGAAGACATCACCTTGGCATTAGGATTTTTGTGATCGCAATTTTGACACTTCTGAAAATATTTAAATAGCAAGTGTGTAATCAATTACCCGAGATATCGATTATTCAGTAACCATGATAACTATTGCCCTTAAGGTATTGCTGTTTGCGCCAACTGTAATGTGTACTCTTGTGTATTGCTGGTGTCTTAGGATAAGTGCTTTTTTTTGTAGGCTTCTCTTTATGTCTTTTTAAAAGGAGGTAGGAAGTTGACAACATTGTTAGCTGAAGGGAGGAAGTTATAGACTCGATTGGGTGAAATGACTCCTGTAGATACCTGTGTTTTTTAATTCCACTTACCAAACATGATATTATCACTTTTTTTTTATACCAACCCAAGACATGGCAAACTTTTTCAGATTTCTATAGAAAGCACTTGGCTGAGATTCTTCAGTGTTGACCAACTGCTTTAAGAGAGGGAAAGTATCTCTAATACAGATGCACCGATCCAATTTCTTTCAGTTCCGAGCCGATTCTTATACATGTGTTATGTACCGATGTGAATGTCTCTTGATGTTGATGATGATTTTTGGTCACGTCTTACAGTTCAGTCGGAATGCCTTCAAAGCGAGTCCGCAATTTGAGAATGTTTTGAGCACCCAGCAATCTTTTCTCAATCAGTGACATGGATTGCCGCCGTCAGCCTGATCTCCGACCCGTAAATGGCGTCAATATCGGACCACGATACCGATATAAGATGGATCGGTCCCATCTCTAATTGCTAACGACAAATTTGGGAAATGAATGATTGTTCACCAAACACTTTGTTTTTGCTATAATTGTTTTTGCGACTCTAATCCTTTGAATGCCTGCCGTTATCCCGCCCTGCACAGATGGCTTGCTTTGACAGTAATAAGGGAAGTTTGGAGGAGGTCAGCTATGACGGAGCTGTTGGTGAGAGGTGTCCAGCTGCCGGTTGGCAATGATGGAAAAGAACGCGAGTCCCTTCTCAGCCCTTCGGAGAGCCCGGGCACATTTATCAGCAGCAACTCCACCAGTCTTCAGGGTGCTGACCCCGTCCAGGCTACGACGTGGAGTTTGACCCGCCCCTAGAGAGTAAATATGAGTGCCCTATCTGCCTCATGGCTTTGAGGAATGCCATTCAAACACCCTGTGGTCATCGATTCTGCAAGAACTGCATTGAGAAGTCCATTCGGTAAGCTATCATGCGTTTGTTAGCACCAGTTTCATGGTAGATTCTCATAGGGGTTGTTTGTCCTTCATGCCTAAAGTGCAATCTGTCAAATGACTGAGTAGTAATGGAATCATAAACATCATAAGTATGTTTTGTATCTAAATGATGCAATGTTTACATAGAGCCCCATGCAGAACCTGATAGTCCTAATGCTCAGCCTAAAAGATTGTACTTCCTCTTGTTTTACAGCGATACCGGACAGAGGTGCCCTGTTGACAATGAAGCGTTGTCAGAAGAACAGCTCTTTCCTGATAACTTTGCCAAACGGGAGATCCTATCGCTAACTGTGCGCTGTCCCAACTCTGGCTGTGCTGACAAAATGGAGCTCAGACATTTAGAGGTAAGAATTTTAGAGTGATGGACATCTTTTAATTTTGAATATAGAACAATCAAGATCACGAATACAGGATAGTAATGTTGCTCATTAAGAATTTAGAACGGTCTTGGGAAGCGGGACATCTGAATAGTATTTGCAGGAGTGTCATTCCTTAGGCATATTTGTATTGACCTGAAATGTATATGAACATGTAGCTGTGATTATTTGTTGTAAATCAATCACAGCAGAAAATAAGCAAGAGGTCTGCTATAGCTTAGTGCATATTGAGATTCCTGCAGCAGTTTGTGCTTCATGTTTTTTTTTGTATTAGTTCTGTTTTTACCTAACAATAAAAATAACAGCCTCAGGATAAAGATACTGACAAGTAAAACCTTCCCTGTCTACCTCACCGTACACAGCACAGACTCTTCCTGCTTGCTGTTCCGACATGTCCTCGTACTGTTTGCTGTTGTTATGGATAATGAAGTTGTTACATTTGAACCCATGCTGTCCTACAGAGTGAACTAACTGCACTGACTGGATATATTGTTTTACCCCCAGAATCATCTGGTGCATTGTCAGTTTGCCACCGAGCCGTGCCCACAGTGCCAGCAGTCTGTGAGAAAGAGCCACCTAGAGGAGCACAAAACTGTCGAGTGCCAAAGGAGACCTGTGTCCTGTCCAGATTGTGTTGCAAGCTTTGTTTACGAGGAGAGAGAGGTAATGTTGTCTCAATAATGGAACTGATTCTGCTGCCTTTTTTTCCCCAGAAGACTTGCAGTCATAGAAAACTCCAGCAGCTGCATTGTTTGTAACAATGGGGTTTTGTCTCATTATTTTCTGGTTTTGGTTGCTCCTTCAGCTTCATGAACACCAGTGTCCCTTTGCCATTGTGAAGTGTCAGTACTGTGGGATGGATCTGATCAGAGACCAGGTGAGTGAAGTGATGTCTGCCTCTAGGAAATACATACATTTTTCTCACTGAAAATGGTTTAAGCTAACTTCTGTCAACATGAACTTCTCCTTTAGTTATTAAAAAAAAAAGGGAACAGATTCAAACTGTGCGTGTCACAGTGTGTGTCTGCACAGACCATTTATCCAACAGCGAGTGTTGTATATGTGTCGAATGAGACAGGAAGTTAATTGTGGGAAAACAAGTGAGTTGTTTCCCTGGTTTTGCCAGTCCACAAGTATAACAGTCAAGTCAACTTTATGTCTACAGCACAAGAGAGCTAAGCAAAGTGATTCTGCAGCCATAAACAAAAGGAAACCCAATGGGCTATTTTAAAACTCATGCATGATTTTAAAGAAGTTACAGTAGTCAATGTTGATGTTAATAACAGCATGCATTACTTTGTGGGAATCTTGGGGTGATAAGAAAGGGTTCACACAGTTGGAAAAGCAGCATCTTAGCATGGAGTTTATCTGTCAATCAAATTGAAATGTAGAATCAAAAAACATCCCTTGTTTCTTTTAAATGTATGTTTTGATAAAGGATGACAGAACTCTCCAAACAGCGGGCTGCAAAAGAGAAGAAAGCCAAAAAGAAAGGCTTTAAAGATCAAAGCCTGACATCACCCTGCACCGGGGGGAAAAAAAAAGGTGGAAGGCGATGTCAGGCTCCCTAATGTCAGGACCAAGAGCCAGTGGGAGCAGATACAGAGAGAAGAGAATTGGCACAAACGAAGCCCCAGTGCAGCACCAGCAAAACTGACCTGTTGAAATGGTTGTTGATATTCTTTGATTGGACAAAGAAGCGAAGCTGATGTTGTTTGTGTTTTATAGATGGAATCTCATTGTGACACAGATTGTCCCAAAGCACCCATCGCCTGTAACTTCAGCGCCTTTGGATGTAAGGAGCGGGTAGGTGATAAAACGCAAAACTTTTTTTTTTATAAACACAGGAGAACAATCCTTGAAAACTTGTCTTGTTTCACGATTATGTGTCCCATCAGCTCCGCAGACCGAATGTCACTTAGAATTTTTTTGTTTTTGTTCTTGCCTCCGTAGATGCAGCGCCACAACCTGGCCCAGCACATGCAGGAGTTCACACAGATGCATATGCGCTTCATGGCCGACTTCCTCCGAGGCGTCACCCTCAATGGTACCTCTCCTAAATCCCTGTGGTCGCTAGGACCTTCCGTGTCCCCCGAGGATCAAGGAGCTGCAGCGTCAGTATCGGCCTGTAGTGGTCCAAGAGGAGCCGCGAGCTGCAGCAGCAACAACAGCGCCCCAAGTCAGCCTAGCGAGGAGATGCAGAGGATCAGGGACATGGACGGACGACTGGTGAAGCAGGACCACCAGCTGCGTGAGCTCATCATCTTAAAAGAAACACAGGTAAAGGATGTCTTTGAGCTTCAAAGTATGAGTACTTTAAAGAACGTACAGTATGTGATCATTCTTTTCTCCTTTATAATACATCTCACTACACACCTTTGATGTCTGTCATATTTATCAGCCAAAGCAGAAATGTAAGTTTTCATTTTCTACTCACTCGGCACTTCAACGGATTGCATGCAGCAGTTTGTTGCTTTAAAAGACAAACCAAATAAGCATGCCCAAGGGAATACCTCTATATTTTCTGTCTTTTGTTTGTTAGACCCTGAACAAGATGTAAAATTTGCTCTGTTGAAAAATATAGCTCAAGTACAACCATTCCTCCATCTGATGATAGAGCGACTTTTTGTTCCGCTTAATAGGTCTCAATTTCTTTGCCCAATTCTTCAATGCAGATACCTCAACCTGTTTGAGCACAGGTATTGAACTTTTGCTCTTCAGTTGTGTCAATTTGAGAGGCATCGCAGAAGTGTTTTACAATGGTCTGTTTATCTTCCTTCTGACAAACAGATCCACTTCTATTTTATAGTAACAATAATACATTTTATTTAAAGACGCCTTTCAAAACACTGAAGGTCACCTTACGAAGTAGAGACACTGCTATCTGCTCAGACCCTACAGCTCATGTTATACCTGCACTATTCTCTTGATAATACTCCCAGAAGCATTATTCAAGTGACCTCCCCTCACTGCTGTGCCTGAATGGATCCAATTCAAAGAAAGAGCATTGAAGCGGCTGCTGTTCCGCTTGTTTCTGTTATCGCTTCACCTCCTCTAAAGATGTGGTATAAGTAACTGAAAACTATTGTCTCACCTCTTCCACAGGCCGGCCAGTTAGCAGAGCTCAGACGCAGAGTGTCAATGCTGGAGGAGACGGTGAAGGAGCTGGAAGCCCACCAGTGTCATGGCATCTTCATTTGGCGTCTCAAAGGTTTCTCCACCCACCTGCGTAACCAAGAGGCCGGCCAGGCGGTGGTGGAGCACAGCCCCGGCTTCTACACGGGCCGCCCAGGCTACAAGCTGTGCCTGCGACTACACCTGCAGACCCCCAATGCCCCGCGCTGCTCCAATTTTATCTCGCTCTTTGTCCACACCATGCAAGGAGCTTATGACGGGCAGCTGACCTGGCCTTTTCAGGGCACCATCCGCCTTGCCATCCTGGACCAGGGCCCTGAGGGTCAGCACCACACGGAGGTGATGGAAACCAAACCAGACCTGCAAGCCTTCCAGAAGCCCGCCATCCATCGTAACCCCAAAGGCTTTGGCTACGTCACCTTTTTGCACCTGCATCAGCTGAATCAGAGAGCCTTTATCAAAGATGATACTTTACTTATCCGCTGTGAGGTGACACCGCGTTTTGACAATATGCACCGTGAGGGACCAGCGGTGCAGCCGAGAGGCCCTGAGGCCTCAGTGTGAGGGACTAAAATCAAACTCTTATCTACTGGATCATCATACCAAGACGTCAGTACAGTACTGACAAAACACTGGACAGTCAGAGTGATGGACAGTCAGAGTGATGGACAGTCAGAGTGAGGGACAGTCAGAGTGAGGGACAGTCAGAGTGATGTACAGTCAGAGTGATGGACAGTCAGAGTGATGTACAGTCAGAGTGATGGACAGTCAGAGTGATGGACAGTCAGAGTGATGGACAGTCAGAGTGATGTACAGTCAGAGTGATGGACAGTCAGAGTGATGGACAGTCAGAGTGAGGGACAATCAGAGTGATGTACAGTCAGAGTGATGGACAGTCAGAGTGAGGGACAGTCAGAGTGAGGGACAGTCAGAGTGATGGACAGTCAGAGTGATGTACAGTCAGAGTGAGGGACAGTCAGAGTGATGGACAGTCAGAGTGATGGACAGTCAGAGTGAGGGACAGTCAGAGTGATGGACAGTCAGAGTGATGTACAGTCAGAGTGATGGACAGTCAGAGTGAGGGACAGTCAGAGTGATGGACAGTCAGAGTGATGGACAGTCAGAGTGATGGACAGTCAGAGTGAGGGACAGTCAGAGTGAGGGACAGTCAGAGTGATGGACAGTCAGAGTGATGTACAGTCAGAGTGATGGACAGTCAGAGTGAGGGACAGTCAGAGTGATGTACAGTCAGAGTGAGGGACAGTCAGAGTGATGGACAGTCAGAGTGATGGACAGTCAGAGTGATGTACAGTCAGAGTGATGGACAGTCAGAGTGATGGACAGTCAGAGTGAGGGACAGTCAGAGTGATGGACAGTCAGAGTGAGGGACAGTCAGAGTGATGGACAGTCAGAGTGATGGACAGTCAGAGTGATGTACAGTCAGAGTGATGGACAGTCAGAGTGATGGACAGTCAGAGTGAGGGACAGTCAGAGTGATGGACAGTCAGAGTGAGGGACAGTCAGAGTGATGGACAGTCAGAGTGATGGACAGTCAGAGTGATGGACAGTCAGAGTGAGGGACAGTCAGAGTGAGGGACAGTCAGAGTGATGGACAGTCAGAGTGATGTACAGTCAGAGTGATGGACAGTCAGAGTGATGGACAGTCAGAGTGAGGGACAGTCAGAGTGATGGACATCTAGTGTAAAACTGCTCATCAGACCCATTTCAAATTGGGACACCACAATTTGTCAGTTATTTATTTGTATACATACTATGAATGTTAATTTGACTTATTTCTATGAATAAATCAATCAGTACATTCCCTTCATTCATTTAGAGATGTATGTAACGACCTGGTACTAACTAGCCTCATATGTTCAAGTAGTGTAAATAGTCAATATTTAATCAGCTTAACATGACAAGTTTAAGATGTGCACCTGCTGCCTCCCAACTGAATATTACTGCAAAAGCTAAAGATACCCTGTGATGTTTTTGACCGTGATAGATAATATTTAGAGACGAGCATAAAAGCAATGAAAGGGGAAACAGATTACGCTAAGCCTTAAGGAAGAAATCCTGATTTGTGGGGGATTTTTTTTGTGGTGGGCCACAGTTGGAATTTGTGAGTCAGGTGACATGTTGGGTCTGAAAAAGACATCTCATACCTAATAAAATGAACATGTCAAAAAAGTAACAATCTCTGTGGAGTTCTCCTTCTAATCATATTTGAAAGAAGTTTACGGGGGGGTGCGCTACCCACCCGGGCGTCTATTTTAGTTATTTCAACCATTGATGTAGCCTGGGTCCTGCCCCTCTACGGAGCCTTGCAGGCCCTGACACCACCCTAATTGTCAAGGGAGAAAAGCTGAGAGGGAAATTTACTCACCAGGGAGAGTGTCAGGCTTCTTTAACTGGAACCAGATGTTAATTATTGTTTTATTTCAAACAAAGAAAAATAATGAAAGAAAGACATTAAGATATCTTAATTACTCTCCTTTAATGATTTAGTGAATCATTTAGTTTTTTGGGCGCTAACTTCACGTTTAGCTGTGTTGCTCATTCCACAAATGCACGCTCATTAGAAGTTATACCTCGTTATAAAGGTGACTAATCAGGCTTTCCAACGAAATATAATACAACACCAATTAGTATTTGTAAAGGGGCGAATTAATTGACTGAAATAACATTTCCAAACTTTTTTTTGAGGAGTTTATTTACTTATAAATGAATGTATATTATATATCTAGGATTCCACTAAGGTGGTGTTTACCTGCAGAGAGGTTTAACTGATTATTATTTACTAGTAGGAGAAAGCATGTCATGTTTCCGGTTAAGGTTTGGCAGTTAAGAGAGACTCCGCCTCTTCCCAAATGTGAGTTAAGCCTTGCTGTTTCTAATAACCTTACCTAAAGAAGATCTTAAAGATTGTATGATTATTAGTTTCATGCTCAATACTATTTTCACTTTTATTTTTACTAATGTAAGGATTTCATTTTGCTATATCATGTCTTGAGTTTCAGGTACATCATATATTATTCACAAGATATCCAGACGGAGTCATTCATATAAGAACCTATAATAATGAAAAAAGACATAGTTATTAGTTATTACAATTCTGGGTTAAAACATCATTTATTTGATCAAGTTTACAAAGGAACATCTAGCTGTCTAATCAGTTATATTGAAGTTAACGTCATGCAGTGTTTAAAGTCCTATTTATTTTAGGCCATTTTGCCGCAACTGGATAGGACAGCTGTAGAGAGACAGGAAATAATGGGAGAAGAGAGTGGGGGAAGACGTCCAGCAAAGGGTCAAGGTCGGACTTGAACCCTCGTACGCTGCGACGTGGACTATTGCCTCCACACATGCTGCACGTGACACAAGCGCCAGGCCATAGGGCGCCCAATGTTATGAATTGTTGAAAGGTTGGTTCATCAGCAGGTTAACAATGTGTCCTTAAATATCTAAGTTAATATTGTGGTTATTATTTCGTAAAGTTTTGTCTAGCTGAAGAAGGAACAGAGGTAATAAACAAGACCGACATCAGCACACAGATTTATAATCATTTAATGAATTTAAAAATTCAAGTCCAAAACAAATCAGTGTCCTTGCTCCTTAAATTAAACCAACATTAAACCTCCAAATAATCTCAATAATTTTCATATTGTATAATCATAAGCTCTCTCAGCATGTTTTTTTATTCATCAATGTATGGGAATTTTTTGTTAGCTCCATATCCTGGGTGACCCGGTCGGACTTCTCTTCCTCCTTCTTGTTTGGCGTCTTTCTCCTGTGGACTTTGAGGAGCATCGTTACCGCCGCTCGCTGTGTAGCCTGTGAGAGACACTGACATTTCAAACCATATTAATATTACATCAGATCAAAAGTAAACACACCAGAGAAAGAGTGTAATCACACTGTACTAATACGGCTCCAAAAAGAATCATCAATTACGAGTCACTCTCTCCTGTAATTCATTTTGTCTCACTTGGAGCTTTTGGAGCGTCCTTCCCGCACTTGAGCGTGCTTTGAGCGAAACACTCTGCCATCCAGGACAACACCTCTCCACAATATTTGACCTGCAGACAAAGCCACAACGAACTGTTTGTCAGACTGTTTCATGTATAACAGGCTTTAAAAATGCAACCCAAATGGTTCCATAAAGAGTCACTATTCCAGATTTACCTGAGACTCCATGGATACCATTCGTTTCTCCTGGTCTTTGAACCCACCAACAATCCTCAGCAAAGCTCTGAACCCTTATTCACATAAAACAAAAAAGAATCTATTAAAGCCATATTTACTGACGCAATGCCACGTTTTTACCACAAGGGGGCAGAAAAGGTTCATAGAAAAACTGTAGTGCTTGGCAGGTTGTGTCCAGTGGTTCTATCAGATCTTTTTTTTTTTTTTTTAAAGAAAAAATGTGGCTCGTCATTATTCATCAGAATGACAGTTATTATAAAGTTTTAGAGTAACATGTACTTGGAGGAGGTGCTCTTGAGTCTCTCCTCACTGCTCTCCCAGTGCTGCCGCTCGAGTTTGGCCAAGTAGTTCTCTTTCTGAACCGTCTCCCATGTGATCAGCCTCTGGTCGAGCCCTGCCGGCAGCTCCCTCTCTGTTAAAACACACACACACACACGCACACACAGAATCGCACACACACACGCACACACACACAGAGGGAAGCAGTCCAATTACCAATTAACCAGCAGGCAATTTCATGGAGAGAGCAGGTGAAGGACAGAGATAAGCACACAGTCTGTTTTTTTTCCCCGTATTTCATTTAATTTTTAATTTAGCCCCACTCGCTACAGAAACTAGTTTAATATCTGCTAGACGTCAGGTAGAAGGCCTTAATAACTTTTTAATGAAAATATGCATCAAATTTATACCAAGAAGCTCCTGCTTGGACTCGGGCCGTTTGATCAGGCTGAGGAGGCCTTGAGAGAGGTGGCTGATGATGATGAAGGGTGGGGCCAGTGCTGGACGGCTGTGGTATTCAACAATCAGGTTGTATCTCTGGAACTTCCAGAAGATGTCCGTGTTGCCCTGAACCACCTGAAATGTGTAGCTGTCACGAAGAAAAAAACAACTGGTGTATTTCTTTGTTGAAAAAGCCACACGCCAAATTCATATTTTCAGATGGACAAACATTTAGACACATGTTTCCTGGATTTCTCTAACCTGAACATGGCAATGAGCAAGTTCATCAGCAGCACATTGGTGACAAGAAGGAAGATAACCAGCAGCAGGATGACCAGCCAGTTGGCGTAAACGTTGGGACATGGCGGCCGTAGGCCCAGGATAATCTCTTCAGAGTCATTGGTGCAGTTCATGTCAGGCATGCGAGCAGCTGTGCTCCGTTTAACAAAAGAACAACAACATTAGTTTAGAAGACATCACATTCAGGTCAACAGAGAGCCATCCCTGATTGCACAAATGATCCAAATATAACACAAAAGTGCTTTTTCATGCTTGAACACTCATTTTCAAAAGTTGCCATAAATATAGAATTCTGAAATCTGCTTTAATTTACAGTCTATTTCCTCCAGGGGGATCTGGCCAAAGATGTGCAGGTAAGGACGGTACAAGGCTCTGCGAAACACCCAGTCAATACGAGGGTCATTGGGGTGGAGGAGAGCCTGGGTGGCAACTCCGTATGCAATCATCCAAACAGTCAGGAAGAAGAGGAAGAAGAAAACATCCTTCATCTGTGAAATAGAAACAGAGAAATGTTTAGGCTGCACTGTCTGCATGTATGATCTTGAACATCAATTACATTTTGTCGTAATACAGATAATATTTTGTGTCAGTCACCATTCTTTCCACAATGATGATCTTTGGGCCTAGCTGCTTATTAATCGCAAAGATGTGGATCAGACGCAGAGTAAACACCATGAAGTCTATTGCGAGGACTGTTCTTCCTGCCTCATACGTGCCATCCACCATCCTGCAAATCAAAGAGTATGAACATTATTGAATAGCCTTGATCAATTCTCTAATGCTGTAACCTAGATTATCAGGAAAACAAATCTAGAGAAGTCCCCACTGGTGTTTTTTTTTCAGTGTTTGAGCGTCATTTAATGTAAGTTACCTGCATGAAACCCCAACAACAAAGAGCGAGATGGCCACCATGTCGCACTTGTTCCAGTTGTCCTCCACATAGAGCCTGAACTTCTTTAAGATGCTCATGTCCTCATCTGTGAAGAAGCTCTGGGGATCAAAAAAAGAATTGACGCGTTGCACTATGATTTTATTTTTTCTAAATTGTTTAAGGATATTGAAGATTTAGTTAATTGAGACGCATTCAGACATTTCTCAAGCATCTCTTTTTTTGTTTTCAAAAATCTGACGTGACAATTATTGATGTTGAAAGATTAACAATTTCCAACATTATTTTTTTAACAGATTCTACGTGCTTAGTCGTATCAGGCACTAGTTGAAAGTTATTTTGAAACATTTATAAGTAAAATGCTTTATCTTTCATACATTTTCTTGGAAATGTACATCTCTGCAATTGGCTCAAAGCCTGAGCTTGTTATATAATTTACACTGCAAGCAAAAAAGTCGGTCTAAATTTAGAATGTGTGCCACAACAAATCTGCCTTTTCATGTCTGAATGTTTTCACACCCTGAATAGTTCAAGGTGCTTTATGGATAAATGCGGCTTCAAAAAACTTTTTGAAATGATATGTATGAACACAGTGTGTGTGTGTGTGTGTGTGTGTGTGTGTGTGTGTGTGTGTGTGTGTGTGAGAGAGAGAGAGAGAGAGAGAGGGAGAGAGAGATCTGTGTAATATTTTATACAGGGAGCCCAATTCAGGCACACCTGCAGGGCCAGAAGGGAATAGCTAGTTGGCACTCAGCCTTTGCTGCCTCAGAAGCAGCTGCACTGTCCCCAATTCTCAATCCTGTAAAATGTCTGTCACACTTGGAGTGTAAGGTTGAGCTGTCTCCTGTGGGTTGAACAGTGAACCTTTAAATGCATCAAAAACCAGGGCTCGGTCCCCGGACGGCATAATTGGTTTGAGAACAACCTGAGGGCAGTGTTCGGCTTTCAGAAAGTGATAGACTGGAGTTTAAGCCTTGACTGTCATGCTACAAAGGTCAACATTACAACCAATTACCTTCAACTATAACGTTCAGGCTTCCTAAAAGCCATAGCATCAGCCAAATGGACAGGAAGGTGGACTGGGGAAAAATCCAAATCACATTATTTTGCATGGGTACCCTGCAACTTCCATTTGGGATCATATAGTTCTCTGAAAGTAGTCTGCAAGGTTGTTACAGCCGCACCGGCACCCCCCCTCTCCTGTTTGTGTGAGCGACCTCTGATCTGTTTTGGAGTGCCTGTGTGTGCGGTTGTTTGTGTGTGTGTGTTGGCGAGTGCATCCTCTGGCCTGATTTCGTCCACCTTTGCTGCTGCTGCTGCTGCTGCTGCTTATGAAGCTTGATTGGTGCACAGAAGCACTGAAACAATGAACCAATCAGAGGACAGCACCTTCTGACACTGCTTTAAGAAGCTTGGTCTGCCAGCAGTCTGGGCGCAGCTTCTTTCGTTTCCAGCTCACTACTGTGCTTCTCGTTGTCTTCGTCTATGTTTGTAAGATGTTCTTAAAAGAACTTGTCTCTTCTGTGATGGGAGGCACTCGTTTTCTGTTTGGACCGAGTCAGATTTTAGCTTTGTTCAGTAAACAAACACTCACTTTAGAATCTGTTTAGTTTAGAGGCACGGTGCTGTTTGGTTTGGTTGGTAAGTGTAGTTAGGTAGGTTTTATGTTTCTTTCTTATTTCACCCATTAGAAAGTCAGTCATTAAAACTGTAGATGCCCTCTGGTTTACTTTGTTATTGATTTGACTCGCACCCATTGGTTCTTTTAGTTTGCTGCACCTTTTTGTTGTTGTGTCACAATTTTACTTCTTTTGTACTAAATAGCTTTAATTTACCAACACCATCTGGTTTTTATGTTTCCTGCCTTTCCCCACACGAGTGGGGTCGTGACAAAGGCTACTTAAATAGGTTATTATAAGAACTGCTGCATCTATAAATACCTACTGGAACTTTTCATTTCAGATCTTTTTACTTTCACTGCAAATAGATAAATCTGGGTAGTATATAAAATCTCAAATTGATGAGGTATACACCTGTTTAGTTGTCTGTCATAATACTGGTTCTTACAAGACTTTCTCCCAGTTTCATAGTTCATCTCACACCAGAGCACAGCAATCACGTTTTCTATCTTATCAAGAAAAACAAGATCTTCTCCCTTGTTGAAAAAAATCCTTGAAAGTGACTGTTTTGTTTATTTTCTGTAATATTTGATTTCAATCAAAGCAGGATAGGACTCTCTTTTTTTTATCTGAAGCACTGCTGATGGTGTCTGGTCATTTTAGGGCATAGTTATTTTATCAATAGAGCTGAAACAAAAAACACAATTTAGGTAAAAGGTGGGGGCGCTGGTGGCCTAGTGGTTAGAGTGCACTGCCAATGTACAGAGGCTGTAGTCCTCGACATGGGCAGCCCGGGGCAATCCTAAGACGTAAGGTTAACAGATATGAAATATCTGACTTTAAAAGATGAACTGATGTTGGCTTAACAAGAGATAGTGAAACATTCTGTTTATATTAAAGTTAAGGCCCTAATAATGTCAAATATCTTATAGGGATACATACAAATGTTCTGCAGTAATATACTCTATGCAACAATGTAAAGGGTTAAAAATAGTCAACCTGCATCTGCAGGGTCTGTTGATGTTAGAGGTAAATATATATTAGAGGTGTGTACTCATTGTCAACCAGCCAAAACCAGTTCATGTGAGAGCACATTGGCTGTCACAATGTTTTGGGATTGAGCAGACTCACACTTCGATCACATCGATCAGATTTAAAGAGCTCACTAACCCACAGTCTCTAACCTTGTTCTGTGACAAGAATTAACAGGGTTCCCCGTGGCACTGCCTCCCCTCAGGGGGGAGGGATGCACCCCAGGGCTTGGTAGCATGCCAGGGTTGCCTGTAGCAGAGAGGTTCTGTTTTTGGAAACCTGCGCCATAGCTCTGTTCAGCTCGGGGGTCTTTCTGAGATGCACATTGAAAGAAACGAGAGGAGGGAACAGCGGTGAAGGCTCGTCTCATCTGGGGCTTTTGTGCCTAAGGGAGGGAGGCTCAGCGGGATCAGTGAAATAAAGGATCATGCTTGTCTGACCGGGCTCACTAGAAGGGAGTCAGGCAGAGAGGTGAAAGGCTCATGAATCCTTAAAACCTCAGGGAGATTGAGCTCATTGAAGCGATTCACATCCCCTCCTACTCAGAGATGTCTAACTTGTCAGGCCTGGACGCTGTCACCAAACACATTTCATGGTGATGGCAGTGCTTTAGAATAAGAGCCAAACTGCATATAGATT